GGAGGAGGGGCGGAGGAGGAGGAGGAGGAGGAGGAGGAGGAGGAGGAGGAGGAATAGGAGGAGGAGGAGGAGGAGGAGGAGGAGGAGGAGGAGGAGGAGGAGGAGTAGGAGGAGGAGGAGGAGGAGGAGGAGGAGGTCCGTAGCAGATTTGGCTCAAGCCATTTTGGCTCAAAGCCGTGTTAGGGACTCAAACCTCGATGTCGAGGCCTACCTGGGCAGTTTCGGCATCTTGTGACCCCCAAAGAGGCTACCCAGTCAGGGGATACCCATTCCTTTTATCATGCTTTTTTGGTGCTCCTCTTGCCTTTACTGCAACGGCCTTCGCCCCTGCACTTCGCCAGGTCGCCTTCAGCGAGTTCTTAGACAGCGTCCACGTGCTGGGGTACGACGACGAGACGGAGGGGATGCTGTTTCTGCTACTGCTGATGAGTAGGACGGGAAAGAAAGAAAGGGAGGATGATGCGGAGGGCTGGTGAAATAGGAGGATGGAACGCCGGGGGCGTCCAATGATGAGCCAGGAGGAGGCAGAGAGGACGAGGAAGCTGGCGATGATAATGCTGCTGCTGATGCTGGTTCTGCTAGTGCTGCTGCGGATGATGACGATGACGATTATGCTGCTGGTGATGATGATTACGACGACAACGACGACGACGATGACGATGACGACGATGATTACGATGATAATGACGATGATGATGCTGCTGCTGCTGATGATGATGCAGATCATGCTGCTGCTGATGATGATTATGCTGATGCTGATGCTGATGTTGCTGATGATGACGATGCTGATGATGCTGATGATGATGAGGATGATGATGATGATCCCGCGATCTGTTTGCCTTACCATCATGGCGGGCTTCTTTAGCAACCTGCCCACAAACATCCTTTCGCCAGCCAAGGGGCCATCCAGGTCGAAGCCTCACAGCAGGCTCGCGAGGGCAGGCGCCCGCGTGAAGGTGCGCTCCAGCCAGGAGCAACGTGGTGTCGACTGTGCGTCTGTATCTCCGATGAGCAGCTGGCCCTTCCTTGTCCCTTCCCTCGCGGTGCTCCGACGGCCCGGGAGCAACAGCTGTGCTCGGGCCCCGCGGGGCAGGCCATCCCGAACGAAGCCCTCCGGAGCGCGCGCCGTCCCTCCGCAGGCTGCGTAAGGAACGGCAGGGGTGCCGAGGGCGTGCCGGTGGCGGAACCTTCTTGTTCCGCAGCAGAGGAGAGATGCTCTGTAAGAACAGTTTTTTGAAGGCAGATCTGCCTTCAACTCTGTAAGAACGGTTTCTTGAAGGCAGATCTGCCTTCAAAAAATAGGTCTACTCTGCAAGAGCGGTTGTTTGAAGGCAGATCTGCCTTCAAAAAGGAAAGACTGGTCTACTCTGTAAGAACGGTTTTTTGAAGGCAGATCTGCCTTCAAAAAACCGTTCTTACAGAGTACACGATTTTCCGACACGTCTTCCAGGAGTGCAGCCAATAGATGTATTGCAGAGCGAAGCCTTCATTCAGACCTCGTCGTCGCCTGACCCGGCGGGGCGCGCTCGCCCGTGCTCGTGAGGGCGGCGGGGTCGATGTGCCGAAGCTCCTCGCCGATGTCCTGCAGCCTCAGCTCACCCACTGCAGACATACAGCTCCAGTGCGCAGGCGTAAGCACACCAGGCAGGCACAGCATGGCCAGGGTGAGTGCTGGCCGCGGGGGCCCGCAGCGCGTGGCGCGGCGGCCGAAGTGTGGGCTCTCTCTCCTGCCCCAGGTGCGCAGACGCCCGAGCAGAGGAGAAGCAACGGACACCCCGGGCGTGGGGGGGGGGATTTCCAGGATCCCCGCCATCACGCAGTGAAGTACCCAGGCCAAGATGCTCGGCACTTCAGAACAGGCCGCGAGATATCCTGTCCAGGTGCTCGCGCCTGGCCTTACAGTCCGGGCCCTGAAGAAGGAACCCTTTTCGTTGGGGAGGGGCTCCGTGTTCCTTGATAGTTTCGCAGCTTGCCTCAGGTTTTCCTCGGTTTTCGATGTGAAATCGAAGTTCAACTTCTGGAAAAAAGGGGCCTCGTTCCTTATTTTGGGTTCCTCAGGTCAAGGCCCCGACTGTAGAGATCGGAAGCTCGCACGGCTCTCCCGAGCCCTTTGAGCCGGGCCCGCGCCAGGAGGTCAAGGAGCTCTTCTCGCTGCTGCAGGTGCGGGTGGGCAGGCCCCGTGCCGCCCCGCCCCGCCCCGCGGAGCTCCCTGGCGGCGAGCGTGCAGCCTCGGCCCCCCCCCCTCCCTCCTTCTCCGCCCCGCCTCCTCCGCACCGGGCCCTCTGCGTCGTGGTTTGTGTGCGGGCTCACTGCCTCGCCTTCAGCCTCTGCCTCTGGGGGGCCGTCCGTCCTGCTGGGCAAATGATTGCCCCCCCCCTTCCCCCCCCCAGGAGGAGGCGGTCCTGCGCTATTTCGTTGCATTCGGCATCCCAGGGCCTTCGCGGACCCTAGGAAACGAGTTTCAGGTGAAGAGCCGTGGCCGCTACCTTCTCGCCTTCGATGTGCTTAGCTGCAACTGCCGGTCCCTTCCTATCTCGCTGGGCTCCTGCTTCGGGCGTGCGGGGGGTAATTAGCTTCCATGGGCGTTCATGTCCTCCGTGCCCCCCACTTTCCGCCGCACTTAGGTTGCTGTTTCCTTCTAGGTACGCTTCGCTTACTCCTTGTCCGCCTCCTCCTCCTCTTCTCCCGTCTCTGCCCTCCCTCTTAGAGCCCTTCTCCCTTGTCTCCTCTCCTCTCCTCTCCTCGCCTCTCCTCTTCCCTCACCTTCTCTCCTCTCCTCTCCTCTCCTTTCCTCTTCTCTCCTTTGCTTGTTTTGCTGTAGTGATACATGAAACATGGTTGCTATCTTCAGCCAGGGAGATCCTTAGTATTACAACGCCGTTGCAATAGTGCGTCACGTTATATGGGAGCGTCAAGATGATGCATGTTTCGTCCGTTACTTCCGCGCGAGCGTGCGGGCGAAGGCTGACCCCTGTCCCGATCGCGCCAAGCTGTCCCCCGCTCCTCCCTAGGATCTTAATTGGCTGGGTCAAGAGCGGTCGGATCAAAGACCTGGGATCTCTAAATCCAGGATTCCCTCACATTGCAGGATCGCGTATCTTTTCAATGGTTTTGTGCAACTACGACGTAGAAGCCACATGGTTTTAGAAATCCCACTTGGCGGGATCTTGCCCTGTCAACGCAAGACGATTAATTCTCAAGGCATGGCGAACATTTTGTAACGCCGATGTTTTAGTATTACGGTACTTTTCCCGATAACCTCTCTCTGTATAGATATACACATGTATGTATGTGTATGTGTATATGTGTATATGTATGTATGTATGCATGCATGCATGCATGCATGCATGCATGCATGCATGCATGCATGCATGCATGTATGTATGTATGTATGTATGTATGTATGTATGTATGTATGTATGTATCTATGTATGTATGTATGTATGTATGTGTATATGTCTGTCTGTCTGTCTGTCTGTCTGTCTGTCTGTATGTATGTATGTATGTATGTATGTATGTATGTCTGTGTGTGTGTATGTATGTATGTATGTATGTATGTATGTATGTATGTATGTATGTATGTATGTATGTATGTATGTGTGTGTGTATGTATGTATGTGTGTGTATGTATGTATGTATGTATGCATGTATGTATGTATGTATGCATGTATGTATGTAGGTCGGTAGGTAGGTAGGTAGGTAAGTAGGTAGGTAGGTAGGTAGGTAGGTAGGTAGGTTGGCAGGTAGGTAGGTAGGTAGGTCGGTCGGTGGGTAGGTAGATACGTATGTATGTATGTGTGTATATATATACAAGATTTTAAGGCTCGCTGCGCTTCGCCTTCTAATCTTGATCCTTGCACCTACGATGTTTCTGGGCGCGGGCGAGAACACAATTGTTCAATGAGGTGTGTGGGAATTGTGCGAGCGGAGGCGAGGCGAGGCGAGTGCGCGGTAGCGCTCGGGGCGGGGCTCAGGGCAGGGCGCAGAGTTGGTGGACGCTGGAGTGGAGGTGAAGGTGGAAAGCCGGATGCCGGACGCTAGAGGTCGGAGTGCTGAGCTGATGGAGGCTGGAAGTCTATAGGTGGAAGTCCCACCGGCCCTTTAGGGCTACGGTGGTATAACGAGTTTGGTCTTCTCTCTTCCCCTTCCTTCCCCTGCTCGGGGGAGGGGTAACCTTTCCCTGGACCTGGAGGGGGGGGGGGGGATGGAGGCGTTAGAGCGTCCAAGATGGCTCAAGATGGCTCCAAGAGGCGCTCCAAGTCGCAAGATGGCCTCCAAGATGGCCCAAGATACCTCAAGATGGGTCAAGATAGCCTCCGACACACCTCCAAGAGTCCTCAAGACGGATCCACGTGCCCTTCGAGCCCTCCACGGCGCCCTCCAAGAAGCCAAAACCCTTCAAAAGCCTAAGGAAAGTCAATGTGTTTGGCATTCTCGTCTTTTCGCTTCCGATGGGCCCCTGAGGCATCAAGATGGCCCCAAGATGGCCCAAGAGAGCCCCAAGAGGGGCCCAAGAAGGCCCAAGACGGCCCCAAGATCGCCCAAGAGGCTTCCAAAGAGCGCTCCAACACGTCCCCAAGACGCCGTTTGAGAGCCTCCGAGGGGGGGACCTGAACTGAGGACCCCCGCTCTTTTTGAACAATGGGGCCCAAGACGGGCCCGAGAGGCCTCCCAGCCTCTCCTGAAGATTCTCCACCCCGCCCTTTTTGGCCCAAGATGGCTCCAAGAGAGCCCTAGATAGCCCAAGATGGCCTCCAAAATGGCCCAAGATAGCCAAGCATGGCTCAAGATAGAGCCTCCGACAGATCTCCAAGAGGCCTCAAGACAGCCTGAATATGGCCCAACATAGCCGAGCATGGCTCAGAATAGCTTCCGACAGCCTCTAGCCGAGCATGGCTCAGGATAGCCTCCAAGAGGCCTCGGGAAAGCTGGCAATCAATTCTGGACGGGCCGGTGGGGATACGCGAAGCGTCAAGAATTGAGAGGAAAGTCGGCGGCCGCATGCTGGAGGACGGGATGCTGACCTGGTAGAGGCTGGGAGTCCCGCGAGCGAAGCGGCAACACGATATTGAATGAGAGATGTGGCCGGCGCCTCGGCGAGAGCACGGGTCCCAGTGAAAGCTGTCTTCTGTTTCCGCCGTTTGCCCTCCCCTCCTCCTGCTCCTCCGTGCCCTCCTTCCGTCTTCCTGGGGCCCCTCCTGTTTCTCGCAATCCTCACCGTTCCTTCCTCTTCCTCCTTTTTCTCCTCCGTCCCGCCTCCTGCTCCTTTTCCTTCTTTGCCACGCGGGCCCATTCGGCGCGCGGGCCAGCCGAGCCAAGGACGACGGCGACGATGACAACGACGACGGCGGCGACGACGACTCCCTGAAAAACTTGACCTCCGAACCTGTCCACGATGCGTTCTGACCATCAGTTTCACGAGAACCCGGCCGCGGCGACGGGGGAAAGTCCCAGAGTCTTAGAAAAACAGCAAACAATTTTTGTTATTACAAAACAGAAGAACTCAGAAGGCGCGCGGGCGGGTGGAGGGGTGCGACAGAGAGGCGCAGAGAGAGAGAGAGAGAGAGAGAGAGAAAGAGAACGAGAGAGAGAGAGAGAGAGCGAGATAGAGAGAGAGAGAGAGAGAGAGAGAGAGAGCGCGCGGAGGAGGAGGAGGAGGAGGTGGAGGAGGACGAGGAGGAGGAGGAGGAGGAGGAGGAAATGGACCTGAGCGGCCCTCATGGCCGCTGCGCGACCTCGGAAGCCTTGCCACGTGCAATGATAGACGCGTGGGGCTCTCGTAAGAGGTAGGGGCGGAAATGCAAGGAGTAAGAGAGAACCTGGAGGGCGAGGACAGGGAAAGCGCGGAATCCTCGTGTCATGGGGTCTGAACAGGATGGGAACAACTGGGAAGACTGCGCATCAAATTTTGGTTCCCGGGGCCGCGCGCCGACTGTGAAGTTGGAAGAGAGAGCGAGAGAGAGAGAGAGCGCGCAGAGGAGGAGGAGGAGGAGGAGGAGGAGGAGGAGGAGGAGGAGGAGGAGGAGGAGGGAAGGGGAGGAGAAGGAAGAGGAGAACGAGGAGGAGAGAGAGGAGGAGGAGGAGGAGAGGAGAGGAGGAGGAGGAGGAGGAGGAGGAGGAGGAGGAGTAGGGAGGAGGGGCAAGAGGGAGCAGGAGGATAAAGAGCCGGAGGAGGAGGAGCAGCAGAAGGAGGTTGGGAGGAGATTTCCGAAGAGTTGGTGTCGAGAGTTAGGTTGGAACCTTCTTGGACTTTCTTGGGGATGTCTTCAGAGCCTCGAAGGAGCAGCTGGAGGAGGATCAGGAGAAAACCTCCTGAGAAAATGAGTATCAGTTTTCGTATCCCGGAGTCGGTGGAGGCAAATGAGGAGAGGGCGATGGAGGAGGAGGAGGAGGACGAGGAGGAGGAGGAAGGCGACGAGTTCGAGGGAAGAAGGAGGTTGAGGAGGGGATGAGGGGCAGAGAGGGGGAAACGGAGGAGGAGGAGGTAGAGAAGGACGAGAGATGAGCTGTCGGACGTCCGAGTAGGTCATGCCGAGAGTTATCTTGGAACCCTTTTGGGCTCTAGTGGGGATGTCTGCAGGGCCTCATGTGCCGTCTTGGGGCGAGGTTGAGAAAAACTAGGGGCGATGGGGGGGGGCCGCTCAGGTCAATCAGAGTGTAAAGAATTTGACGGCTCTAAGACTGAGTGGAGCTCCTGTTGGTGCTTTTGTATACCATCGGAGGGCCTTCTTGGGCTGTCCTGGGGCCCTCGTGGGCTGTCTGGGGGGGCTTGGGCCGTCCTGGGGCCGTGTTGGGGCTCTGTCGGGCCCTCTCTGAAGCATCCCGTGACTCTGTTGGAGCCCTCTTGGGGGTCTTTTAGGGGTCTCTTGGGCGCTCCCTGGCTTTCTTTGCGCTTTATTGACCCATCTTGGGGCCCCATTGGGCCGCCTGGAACCATTTCGGGGCGACCTCGGAAGCTCGCAGATCATTATTGGGCCGTTCGTGGCCAGAAAAGGCGAGAAGCACAGAATCGTTCAAAAATAAATGGAAAATTAAGGTTTTTGGCCTGCTGAGGCCGTGTCGGAGGTCTTTGCGGGGGCATCCTGGACAGTCTTGAGCCCATGTTTGGTCCTGTTGGAGCACTATGGGGCCGTCTTGGGGCCTCTTGGGCCTTGCAGAGGACGTCTCGGAAGTGCCTTCTGCTGTCTTGGGCTCCCGATGTAGGCCTCGTGTCGCTCTCTTCGGGGTATTTTGGGCCGTCTCGAAGCATTGTGGGGCTCTCTTGGGAGCCTGTGGGGTTCATCTGGGGTCCATGTGGGGGGGGGTGTCGGTGACATGCCGGGTTTTTCCTTGTAATTTGATAGGTAGAAGGAATATGAGTAGGCCAGGGTGGGGGCCCGGGCCGGTGCCATCATCCCCCATGGGAGCCCCCTGGAACCTTTTGGGGGTCGCAGACCCCCCCTGGGACTGCCCCGGGCCGCTTCCAAATTACCCACGACATGCCACGCGGGCCGTACAGATGGTCAAGAAAGCCTCAAGAGGCCTCGAAGACGCCCAAGAGCGCCCCAAGTGGGCCCGAGATGGTTTCAAGATGGCCGACGAGGGCCCCAAGAGGGCCTTCAAGAGGCAAACATCGGCCCATTCCCATAGTAAAACGTACATTTTCAGCATGCTCGCTGGCTTCGTCTTCACAGTGCCCCAGACGCCCCCGAGGAGCCATAACACAGCCCAAGAGAGACCCAAGAGGGCCCAAGACGGCCCGAAAGGGTCGTCCTGTGGGGCTCACGGAACCTCCCAAGACGGCCGAAGAGGCCCCAAAGCCGGCCCAAGACGGCCTCAGGGAGGCCCAAGCGGGCCTCGTTCGACATCATGTTCCCGAAGCCTCTCCGGGAACATGATTTCTGGCTCCCAGGACGCCCCACAAGACAGCCTCAGCGAGGCCCCAAAGGGCCTGATATGGCTTGAAGATGGCCGACGAGGGCCCCAAGGAGGGCCTTCAAGAGGCAAACATCGGCCCATTCCCGTAGTAAAGCGTACATTTTCAGCATGCTCGCTTGCTTCGTCTTCACAGTGCCCCAGACGCCCCCGCGGAGCCCCAACACAGCCCAAGAGGGCCCAAGACGGCCCAAAGGGTCGTCCCGTGGGGCTCAGGAACTCACGGAACCCCCCCAAGACGGCCCAAGAGGCCCCGAAGCCGGCCCAGGAGGCCCCCAAGACGGCCTCAGGGAGGCCTAAGAGGGCCCTGTTCGAAATCATGTTCCCGGAAGCCTCTCCGGGAACATGATTTCCGGTATCCCAGGGCCCCTTAGAGGGCCCCAGGACAGCCTCAGCGAGGCCCCAGAGGGCCCGAGATGGCTTGAAGATGGCCGAAGAGGGCCCCAAGAGGGCCTTCAAGAGGCAAAATTCAGCCCGTTCCCGTAGTACAGCGTACATATTCAGCATACTCCCTTGCTTCGTCTTCGCAGTGCCCCAGACGCGTTTGAGGAGCCCCAAGACAGCCCAAGGGAGACCTCCGTAGCCATTTTGGCTCAAGCCGCTCCTGCGCAGTCCTGGCCAGCCTGCTCTGGCACGTCAAAGCGCTCGCGTTCACCGGCGAACCATGGACGTCGACAAGAAGAGGGCTCAGGACGCGAAGGCCAAGCACGAAGAGCTCGAGAGGAAGGGGAAGCTTGCTCCAGAGGAGCCCGTCCAGCCCAAGTCTCAGGAGGAGGTGCAGGCGGAACGCGAGTGGAAGAAGAAGATGCAGGAGAAGGAGGCGCTCGACCCAAAAGCGATCGAGGCCCTCGAGAAGGAGGTGGAGGAAGCGAAGAAGAGGGCGGGGGCCGCGTGAGCAGGGTCCCGAGAGAGAGAGAGAGAGAGAGAGAGAGAGAAAGCTCGGGCGGCCCTCGCCGCCCGTTTGCGCCTTGTCCGAGAGTGTCGCGGCTCTCTCCCCCGTCCTTGCCTCTGGGCCTCTGCCGACAGAGACTGGCGGCAGGCAGTGGGGACTTTTATGATTGCTCCATTCAGCCCGATTTTGCGCATTAGTTCTTAGCAACCCGCCGCGGGAGCGTGCGCGCGCGCGTGGGTGCACGCCCCGACAGCGCAGCGCGAGGACAAAAAAAAGACAGCTCAAGAGAGACCCAAGAGGGCCCAAGACGGCCCAAAAGGGTCGTTCTGTGGGGCTCACGGAACCTCCCAAGACGGCCGAAGAGGCCCCAAAGCTGGCCCAGGAGGCCCCCAAGACGGCCTCAGGGAGGCCCAAGAGGGCCCTGTTCGAAATCATGTTCCCGGAAGCCTCTCCGGGAACATGATTTCCTGGCTCCCAGGAGACAGCCCCCAGAGGCCCCAGACACGCCGAAGATGGCCTCAGGACGGCCGACGACGCCGCCAAAACGCCCCAAGAGCGCCTCCAGAGGCCCTCCAAAGGGCCCCAGAAGCCGAACATCATGCATTTTCCAATGGTTTTTGAAGCATTCTTGCGCTCTCCCATGTCCCGCCTCCCCACGGTCCCGGACCGCGTCAGAGGCCCTTCAGATCGCTCCAAGACGGCCTAACAGGCTCCCAAGAAAGCCCACAGACGGCCCAGGAGGCTCCCCAGATAAGTCAAGAGGGCCTCGAGAGCGCCCCAAGAGAGCCCCAACAGCGACCCAAGAGGGCCCGAAGAGCGCGACATTTCAAGGTCTCCAGCCTGAGAGGCTCCTAGGACGCCCCCGGAGGCCATCAAGAGGCTCCCATGAAGCCCCGTGAGGCTCCCAAGAGGCCCCCCGGAAGCCCCAATAGTACCCAAAGGGGCCCCCAGGGAAGCCCCCTGCGGGCCCCCAAGACACTTCGGTAAATCGTATTTCCCAGATAGCTTTCCGGGAACATGATTGGGCTTCCGCCAACCGCCCCAACCATGTTCCCAATAGGCTTGCCGACAAGGCCAAAAGGCGCCCCTCGGTAAGCCCCCGGAGGCCCCCTCTTAGAGAGCCGAACAAATCATGCTCCCGGAAAGCTTCCCAGGAACATGATTCTCTATCTCGGAGTAGGCCCGGGGGGGTGGGAGCGGGCCGCTGCCTGTTCCCCCTATCGGTGCCCACCGGGGCTTGCGGGGGGGGGTCCATAGCTCCCAAGGCGGCCCGAGCCCGCCCCGAAGCAGGCCACGACAGGCTAAGGGGGTCCCGAGAGGGCCCAACACGGTGCACGAGGCCCCGAAGACGCCCAAGATGCCCTCAAGACGGCCGACGAGGATTCCAACACGCTCCAGGACGGACTCAAGAGGCTCCCCAAGAGGACCCTGGAAGGCAAGATTCGCTCGTTTTCCGAGTGTTTTGGATTTTGGCGTTCTCGCTTTTTCCGCTTTCCAGCGCTCCCTCACGGCCTCGGAGGCCCTTCAGATCGCTCCAAGAAGGCCCACGAGGCCCAGAAGTGGGCGCTAATTTGGCCCAGGAGATGCATCCCAGACAACCCAAGTGTGCCCCAAGAGCGCGTCAAGAGAAGGCCCAAAGGGGTCCCGAGGCGGCCTGGGTCCGCCCCGAAGCAGGTCACGACAGGCTAATGGAGGTCCCGAGAGGGCCCTAGACGGTCCCAAGAGGCCCCGAAGATGCCAAGATGCCCTCAAGACGGCCGACGAGGACTCCAACATGCTCCAGTACGGACTCAAGAGGCTCCCCAAGAGGGCCCTGGGAGGCAAAATTCATTAATTTTCTGATGGTTTTTGAAGGACTTAGGCGTTCTCGCTTCCCCCGCTTCCCAGCGCTCCCTCACGGCCTCGCTCGGAGGCCCTTCAGATCGCTCCAAGACGGGCCACGAGGCCCGGAGAGGGCCCCAAGACGGCCCAGGAGGCTCCCCAGACAACCCAATAGTGCCCCAAGAGCTCCCCAAGAGAGGGCCCAGAAGGGGACCGCCAACCGCTATTTCGAGGTCATTGGCCCCAGAGGCCGCCTGTAGGCCTCCAGAGGCCCCCAAGAGGCTCCTGCGAAGCCCCGTGAGGCGCCCGAGAGGCCCCCAGGAGGCCCCAAGAGTCCCCCAAGGGGCTCCGAGGGAACGCCCAAGAGGCCCCCCAGCACACCCCAAGAAGTCATGTCCCCAGAAAACCTTCTGGGGACATGGTTCATCATGGGCCCGAGAGTTCCCGGAGGCCCCCAAGGGGCCCCCATGGCCCAAGAGACCCCCCAACACACCCCCAAAAAAACTATGTCCCCAGAAAGCCTTCTGGGGACATGGTTCATCATGGGCCCGCGAGTCTCCGGAGGCTTCGAAGTACCATCATGCTACAGGAGAGCTGTTTGAGAAGTTGATTGGGAACATGACTGATCGCCTTCTCGCGGCCCTCAGCAGATCGTTTCGCACAAAGTTGCCCCAAGTGCCCTCTTGAACCGATGACGACGACGACGACAAAACGACGAAGACGACGACGACGACGACGACGACGACGACGACGACGACGACGACGACGACGACGACGACGACGACGACGACGACGACGACGACGACGACGACGACGACGACGGCGCGCCCCAATAGGCGACGACGACATTACAACGACGACGACGACGACGACGACGACGACGACGACGACGACGACGACGACGACGACGACGACGACGACGACGACGGCACGCCCCAACAGGCTCCCCAAGACGCCCCCAAAGCCATGCTCCCAGAAGGCCTTCTGGGAACCCGATTCATACGGCCTCCGCCCCCCTGCACGACCATTTTCCTCGAAGGCCTTTCGGAACGCAGATTAGCATGCGTGGACTGGTGGTCCACCTACTTCAGTGGAGCAATGAATTCGTCAAGGTCTGGGGCCTGCTAGAACCTGAGCGCGCGCGAAACGCGCGCGATGGTTCTAGTATATATATATATATATATATATATATATATAGGTATACGCATGCACATTAGCTCTTTCTCCCTCCCTCTCTCTCTCTCTCCTCCCCCTCTTCCTAGACGCAGTCTACCTGTATTCGGTCGCTGGTCCCTCGTCCCCCCTCTCCTCGTACTTCTTCCCTTTTCCATCCTCCTTCCTGCTGGCCCTCTCTCGCATCGCCAGGAGGGACTCCAAATATGGGATACCTCTAGCGGACGGTCATTTGTTTACTCCTCCCTCGCCTACTCCTCCTGCTCCCGCTTCTTCCTCTTATCCTTTTTCCTCCTCGTTTCCTCTCCCGACTCTCTCTATCTCCTCTCCCTCGTCAGCCTCGTCCGCCTCCTCTCCTCATCCTCCTCTTCCTCCTCTCCCGTCTCACCTCTCTGCCCTCTCTCTTTGAGCCAGTCCCCCTTGTCGCCTCTACTCGCCTCTCCCCTCCTCTGCTCTTCTATCGGTTTTACGTGTTTACGTTTTTCCATGTATCACTATTACGGCTATTATTTTTAGCAGCATCGTAGGTATCAATTCCGATTATTAGTATCATCGTGCATGGTTAAGCTAGTTGTTATCTTTCTCTATCTCGATGTATACAGGTAAGTGCTCTCTCTCTCTCTATATATATATATATGTAAGTTCCTCTCCCCCTCCTAGACGCAGTCTGCCTGTAATGGGACGCGCGTGTCCTCGTCCCTTGTCCCCCTCTCCTCGTCCTTCTTCCCTTTTTCCCTCCTACTGCCTACTGGCCCTTTCTCGCGTCGCCAGAAGGGTCTTCAAGCATAAGAGACCTCTAGCGGACGCTTTTATACATGTACTTACATCTATACATGTTTACAAGTGTGTGTGTATATAGGTATAGAGTTGTCTAACGCTTGTTTCTACTCCTCTCTCTCCTCTTCCCTCTCCTCCTTCTCCTCCTCCTTCTCCTCCTCTTCCCTCCTCCTCCTCCTCTTCCCTTCTCCTCCTCCTCCTCCTCCTCTTCCTCCTCCCCCTCTCCTGTTACTCTTCTTCCTGTTCGCATCCTTTCCCGATCCTCTGTATCTCCCAAACCGTGTCCCCCCAGTACGCTCACGTATGTGGAGCGGGCGAATCTTACCCCCTGGTGCACTCACAGAGGTAGCAGAACAACTTTACAGATCTCGCGCACCGTGCGGCGGGCAAATCGTGCCCCCCCGGTGCACTCACAGAGGTAGCGGAAAGATTGTAAAGATCTTGCGTCCAGTTGGGCGGGGGGCATATCGTGCCAACCTGGTAAGGTGGCAGACGTCGCAGAAAAACCTCGAAGATCTTGCGCACCGTGGGGCGGGCAAGTCGTGCCCCCCTGGTTCACTCACAGAGGCAGCAGGGAAACTTGAAAGATGTTGCACCCCGTGGGGCGGGCACGTTGGCCTCCCCCCGCCCAGTGCACTCACAGAGGTTGCAGAAAGCTCGAGAGATCTCGCGCCCCGTGGGGCGGACAACTCGTGCCCCCGCGGTCCACTCACGAGCAGAGGTGTGGTGGGGGAGGGCGCTCCACGGGCGGGGCGCTCATGCCAGAACTTGTCGTGGTGAATCCGTGCTCCCGCGTTTGGCCGCTGAGCACTGGCGCTCCGCTCCCTCATGGTCTGCCGAGCCTCCATTCCCGCAGTCCGCTGCTCGATCGTGGCGAGGCCCTGCCTCCCGTACAGTCGGTGCGCCGGCCTCTCTCTGGACGTATCGGCGCGCTTCAGGCCACGTCTCTTCCCCTCCTCCTCCTCCTCCTCCTCCTCCTCCTCCTCCTCCTCCTCCTCCTCTCACTCCCCCTCTCTCCTCCTCCTCCTCCTCCTCCTCCTCCTCCTCCTCCTCCTTCTCCCTCCTCCTCCTCCTCCTCCTCCTCCTCCTCCTCCTCCTCACTCCTCCTCGTCCTCCTCCTCCTCCTCCGCTTCTCGCCGCCGCGCTCCGCACGGGCTAAGCCCCCCCTGGATATGCTGCCGCCCGCAGCCGCTACCTCACCCTGGACGACATCATCTTCCTGCAGAGGTGGGACGACACGAAGCGGGCGGGGAGGGAAGGTGCTGCAGCAGCTCGAGGGATCTCGGGGGAGAAAAAGATACGGATACGTGTTGTCCCCCTTCGTTTTCGGCCTTTCCTGGTCCCCCTGGGGAATCCTCGTTGTCACCGCTGGATTCGCCTCGAAATTCTGGTCAGAACGCACCCCAAGAGAGGTCCGGGGACAATACGTATCCGTATCTTTCCGCCCCCCAAGGATCGGCGAGAGAAGGGCGCAGGAGATAAGGATCATATTGCGGGTTGTGATGATGCTGGTGGTGACGAAGCGGAAGAGGGGGAAGAGGGGGAGGAGGAGGAGGAGGAGGAGGAGGAGGAGGAGGAGGAGGAGGGCGGCTTAGGAGGAATTTTGTTTTGGCAGCCATGTGTCGCAAGGCACACGTCAGTGCGACACGCTCGCCTTGCTCCCCAGCGCGCATTCACGGTTGGCGTTCAGGTTTGCGCTCGGAGCGTGTGCTGTAGGTGGGTTCCATTTTGGATGTTGGCACTTCCAGCACGTGTGTGGAATGCTCATGTAACTCGGCATGTCGCAACTGTCGTTGCCTACCTTGCTTGCGCTGTCGATATATATATATATATATATGTATAGAGATAGAGTTAGAGAGGGAGGGATCGAAAGAGAGAGAGAGAGAGAGAGAGACAGAGACAGAGACAGAGACAGAGACATAACGTTATATATATATATATATAGATAAACAAACAAGACAAAAGAGTAAGAGACAGAGGGAGGGTGGAGTTCGAGAGTAGAAGGTTGATTAGACAATGAAATGGGGGGCGATGGCGGAGATAGAAGAATGGAGGCGAAATTTGAGGGTGGAGGGAAACTCAAACATATATTAAAACCGGTGGACTAGTGACAGACCTTGCTTCGAGTTTTTTCCATGGTTGGTTTGTCAGGGAGCGCATTGACAGCAGGCTGGTACCATGAGGGATGTCGGGGATTGGTATGTCTGCCCTTCGCGGCAGCTAGACTGCTCCTTGGTCCTCTGTTGTCTCCCTCTCCTGCCCGCGCGCCCCTTACCGCGCGGTGGAGCTGGTCCGCCGCCTTCTTAGGGAAGAAGGGCGTGAAGAGGTCGTTCGGCAGGGCGGTGCCAATGTAGAGGGTTCAGACTGACCTCGCATGTGGATAATAAGCCTTGGCTCTTTCTCTTGGTCCTCTGACGAGAGGGTCTTTGGAAGGTCGCAGCCTCCAAGAACCCCTCCGGCCCGAGTTCGGCGCCACTGCGGCTCTCTCGTTGCCTTGCTGCGCTTGCCTTGCACAGCGTGCTTGCAGCGTCCAGCCTCGGGTCCGCGACCGCTCAGGCCGCTTTCGATTGCCTGGCCGTCTCCAGTCGCTCCTCATCTCCCCCCCCACCTCTCGGCGGCGAGCGAGGGGGGGAAGTGCGAAGGAGGAGGAGGAGGAGGAGGCCTTCTCAGAAGGCGGCGGGACTTCTCGGGAGCCTTCGCGCCTTCCGAGAGGCTTTCTGCATCTTCGGGGGAGGTTTAACTCAGGAGGAGAAAAACACAGACAACATTAATCGTCGACCAATATGGGAAAATGTGGGCAGTGGGGGGGGAACACAGAAATCTAGAACATATGGGGAAATATGGGGAATCCTTTTCTGTGTGTGTATTTATTTTTTTGTGTCCCAGGGCCCCTTCATGAACAACAGCTTCTCAGCAGGCCCCGGGGGACCTCCGAGCCTTCCGAGCGGGCCCGCCCCTTCTCTCCCTTCCCCCCCCCCCCCGGGAGCTCGCGGCCGCCTCTCCTCCCCCTCCCCACCCCGCTCCCGGGACGGGGGTATGACTCGCTCCCAGAGCGCTCCCGGGACGGAGGAGGACTGAGGAG